ATATTTTTGTGGATCATGTTGTATGATCATGCACAACTGTATAATCTGATATGCATTTTGAGACACGTGTATCATGTGTATATATATGTTGTTTACGGTTTGTAATTAAGGCATGTGTAGCCTTTATACAGCTATACACTTTTGATGTTGGCATGTATAAGAATCTATGCATAATATGTTAGTTGATGTAAGTATTGGCACAGAGCCATTTCATGTATGAATCCATGGATGGATTCTAGGTCTATTGTTGTTGGACATTTTGATTTATAATTAGACTACGTTATTTAGTTATCAGGTACCTAGTATGACGTGGGAAGTTATCTCTAGATGTCCAAATTATAGCAGAGATGTTGCCCGTGATATTTTATCAGGGATGATACATGTTATCATACTTGGATAGTCAATTACCATTAATTATGATTTACAAAGATTTGAGTATAAATATTGTGCAGGTATGAGACTGTACAGTTAAAAATAATAGGAAAGAAAAAAATTAGTTCACATAATTCACTAAGTGTAATTATGAGTTTTTCACGTGTGAATTCTCCAAATTGAATTAGTATGTTGTGCTTAATATCATATTGCATGTTAACAAACTCGTTGCAAGTGATGTGTTACATATATATTGTATCCAACAATGATATTTATGTTTGATAAACAACAATAATATTAATTCTTCATCATTAAAACAAGTGCAAAATCATCGTAAATGAAAAAATAATTGAACTATTAAAGCTATATAAATATATTTTGTTAAAAACATATTTGTATTCCTTAATTTTTTAGATTAACAAAATTGTCTTTTAATTTTTTTTTTTTTTACAATCCAAGTACTTTTTTTATACATTCTAAGTACGTTTTTAAATTATTGAATTATCATAATATTTTCTGAAAAGTTATTTCTATTAATATTATTAATGTATTAATCACATATAGATTTTACGTACCACCAATGACGATTTGCCACCAAATAGTACTAACGGAGTTAATAATTAAGAAGAAAGAATTAATACTTAAAAAACTATTGTGTCAATTAAAGGATTTAAATAACTATTTTATAATAAAATACATCTAAATAGAATATTTGCAAAAAAAGTAAATAAAAAAGATAAAATATTTTAAATTTTAGAGAAGAAACTAATTATGGTATACAAAAAAAAAGAGACAAGAAACTAATTAAGACTATGTTGTAAAATTATTTAAAAAATATAAATAGTAATAATTATATTTTATAATTGTATTGTTTCCGTAAGCTTTAATTGATCATCTAATAAAAAATTATATACGGAGTCAAAAATATAAAAACAAAAAGTACTTTACTCAGTACTTCTGTTGTGCACTAGCCACTAGGCTCAATGCTTTAGGTCCAACTAAACCCGAAACACAGAACTGGGCCAGATTTGGGTTTCTACGGTACCAATAAACACATATTGCTACTGTTTTCTATTGGCCCAGAAAAAAAGTTCCGTGAAAGTGTATATTTTCAGGGTTTTATAAGAGTTATGTTACAGGAAAAGTGATTGTGTAATGTTATAGAGATTCGTTTTGTGTGCCGTAATTTTTTTTTTTTTTCAAAAAGTGTGGACCCCACAAAATATTATGTGTGGAAAATTTGTTGTGTCATGTTAAATGACAAATGCAAATACCTATTTCCAAATCTAAATAGATTTTTCATCCTTTCATTTTATTTTTAAAGAATCCCAAGACAAACAAATTAAATTATATCTGACTGAGCTGAAAATGTTCCAAGTTGCCATGGTTGATTCAGTTAGGAGGAATTGTTTTAAGATAGATTTATAATGTTTAGAATCCTCTCACATGATGTGACTCCCAAATTGATATACTCTTTAACCCACGTTGTGGTTTTATTAATTAAAACATACTGCCTATATCATCCATACCTGGAAATCCCATGTCCTAACGTTGCTTGTTATTCCAGCAAAGTGGCATACTTTTTTGTTCAGCAGAGATATAGACTCCTTTAATGATGAACTTATTAAGTTATGTCACACACCTATTGATGAGAAAGTGCAACCAGATTCCCAAATTCATTTTTTAGTCCTTGGCTTTGCTTTCACTAATATGTAGCAAAGATAATTATAGAAATATTTAGAACAAGGAAGACTTAAACAAGCAACTAAGTATTATAAAGTCATAAGCCACACCAACTCCCTTTTATAATGATTAATTTTTAGTTGGGCATTGGATCCATAAAAAAGAATGAAAGGAGGTCATAACTTTGTCATGAAGGGTTTATGTGTGATCACTACCTCTGCTCTCAATGTCACTGTTGGATGACTCTCCTTTGCTTCTATTTTTGGCCATGGAAGAAGGACCCTACTTATTTTATGGTTTTCTCATTGGGTCCAGGTCCACCATCAATCTTTGCCTAGAGTGAAAGAAAAGTTTGCACATTGGAGAACCTCGAGTACACTAATTGCCTTTTTTATGATAGCTAGAATCAAAGGAAACACGGACTATAATAAAGGCATATATATCCAAATATGGTTCATTTTGGGCATTAGTTTAGTACTTGCGTGATGTGTGCAAATGTTAATTTAAATTTTAAGCTCGGGGATATAATCATATAAGCAGACATGAAAGTACATTTTGTTTGAAATGATGTATTGATATTAATTCACGATCCGGACATATGTGTGCAAATGTTAACTTACACAAACATGCTTGGTTCATTTTGACTTATTGAAAAAATAAAAATAAAATTTCTTACGTTGTTTGAAGAAATTAATCTCCTGATATAGTCACATAGAAATCTGTGCAATATATATATATTTTTTTAAAAGAAAAACCCGTAATCTCCGTAATTTCTCTAGGGTAGTGTTTGGTTGAAGGTTTATTTTGGGATTGATGGGAAAATGTAAGTGGATATTTGACCACGTTTGGTTCAGGTTTTTTCAAAAAATACTAGGCAAATAGGATAGATAGAAAAATGACTTTTGTGTTGATTTTTGAATGAAATTCACTGTTACAGAATACCATTTGAGATGTGGTATTTTGAGATAACTGGGGAAGTGAAAAAACAGATGCAAAGTTTCTCAGAACATAGATTTTGCATATTTAAATAAATTTTCCTGGTAATATTTCGATCAACCAAACAATTTTTTTTACATTTTCCTACCAAACTCACTTTCCAACTATTTCTCTATCAATTATATTTCCCTAGTAAAAAAAATTTCTCCGAACCAAACACTACCTAGACGCAGAAAAATATTAATGTCTTCAGCAATCGGAGACAATTCAAATCTAAATAATAATAATTACATTTGTACATTCTGTATTACACTATTCAAACATTATTTGATTTTTTAGAAACAATAAAATATACAAATTTTAATACATTTATTCCCAAAAACAGGAGAAAAATAAAAATATATATAAATTATAATGGACAGATATCAAAATTCAAAAAAAATGTAAGTGAAATGTTTAAAACTATTTTTTAGGATGGATACTAAAATGTTTAGTACTGATTAAGAAACGGTGTTTTAATTTTTATATATTAAAATTTAATTAAAATATTTGGTATTTTTTTTTCCCAAACGTTTTGGGATTGTAATTTTATATAGCAGAAAGTTAATGCCAATGTATAAAAGAGCGAAGAAAACTATCTTTAATAGATACCAAACAGACGTTCGACAAGAACTACGTATCCAATTAGATATGGGTGAAGATCACAGTCATAAAAGATAAATCAACGGTTATGATTTTGTAATTATTTATTATAATTTTTTTTCTTTTTTTATTATTAATGATCCACCTATGGTTATGATTTATTACATAATCATGTCATTTTTTTTCACACAGGAGAATTCATTTTGCAGGAACATTTATACTTGCTGTCAGCTAAGCTCATCAATAGGATTGTTAGTTATATTAGATTTGGATCAATTAATGATTTTTTCTTCTCTCTTCAATCTCACCTGGTGATCTAAATCTAATATAATCGTAATTATAGTGATAAGAAGAATGATAAGCTTAACTTGCACATAATTATAACCGGCTCACAATTATCAAGGGGCGTTTGGTTGAGGAATTTTTTTTGGAATAGTAAGGAAATGTAATAGATAGAGAAATAATTGAAAAGATAGATAAGGTGAGATAGGTAGAAAAATGTAAAAAAAAGTTGTTTGGTGGAGAAAAACTTTAATGGGAAAATTAGGTAACTTTATGAAATCAACAGTACATTAAAAGTCAGATAACCGATTTTTCGAAAAATCCCACCTTCAAATTGAGTTTCTAAACAGTGCGGATATTTATATTTCTCATAAATCCATACAAATTGGATAGATGAGTTTTTGGTAAAAATACGTTGAAACAAACATGATATTTCTAAAAGCCATACTTGAAAAATATAGATATCCGCTAAAAAACTCCCCATCAAACACCGGCGCAAATCGATATACATCCACAACATAGCATATTAAAGCTTTTGGTAGAAGCCTCGCAAATGCAGCTCACATGTCATGAACCAGCCCGCAATCACGTGCAACTGCACCCAGCTTTTCACGTGCCGTGGACCAAAGGCAACAAAAATCCCACTTGTTCCCACCACATGCACACCGCGCGTTCTCTCCACACGCCAACAAGGAGCGTCACCTCTACATTTCAAAACCTTGCAGGTTTCTAAAGTGTGTCAGAGGAGCACCTCCTCCAAGGCATTAACGGCCGGAGCCTCAACAAATCGAGCCCGCCCACGTTTCCATCACACTCTTCATCTCATAAAACCAACGGTCATTAATCTCGAGAACAACAAAGCAAGACTTCAGTTCAGAGTATAAGTTCCACATCATATTCAAAATTTCTGTTTCCCTTTTCAAAATTTAAATTCCCACTTAAACCCGACGGCGCCGTCAAACTCCACGTTAACTGCACAGCCCCACTTAACGCCGTCACAATTCCGTTATATCCCAATTATAAAAACTATTGTTCTTCCCTCTTTACACAGACGAGGGTTCTCTACTGTATCAGTCATTCATTTCTTCCTCTTTTCTCCCTCTAAAACTCTCTCTGCTACTTTCTCTCTCTAAAACTCGTCCTTCCAACTCAGTCTCGAAAATGCGTGAGATTCTTCATATTCAGGGAGGTCAATGTGGAAACCAGATAGGTGCGAAGTTTTGGGAGGTGGTGTGTGCGGAGCATGGGATCGACTCCACGGGAAGGTACCAGGGGAACAATGACTTGCAACTCGAGCGAGTCAATGTGTACTACAACGAGGCGAGTTGCGGGCGATTCGTCCCAAGGGCGGTGCTGATGGATCTGGAGCCAGGGACCATGGACAGTGTCAGATCTGGTCCCTATGGACAAATTTTCCGGCCAGATAACTTCGTCTTCGGACAGTCCGGTGCCGGAAACAACTGGGCCAAGGGTCATTACACTGAGGGGGCTGAGTTGATTGACTCGGTCCTTGATGTTGTGAGGAAGGAGGCAGAGAACTGTGACTGCCTTCAAGGTATATTTTACTCCAAGTTCCGATTACAACTGGTTTTTAGATTTTAGGTTTTCATTTCTTTGCTATGAAGTTTGATAGTTTTCTGTGCATCTTATTTTCCATTTTGTTTTTCCGAATTTGTTTTTGTATGTTTCTGTGATTCATTTTCAATTTTTTTGTTTTTGGTTATGGACAGTTTTTATTTTTATTTGTTAATGTTTTTAGTGTTTTGTGCCTTTGAGTGAAAATTCATGGTCTCTGATTAACGATTTTTCAGCGTCCTAATACGAAGGAATGAAGCTAACGTGTAAAGAATCTAATCGTGATATGGAAAATCATGTGTTTGTTTTTGCTGATTTCGATGTGTGATAGTATGTACTTGACTGCGCAATTTGCATAATCCTTTAGTGGTTTTTTTTTTTTGTTTTCTTCTTCTTCCCGATTCTGTATTTTGAAAATAAAATCAGCAGAAATGGGGAGATGCAGATCATATTCTCTGTATTCTCATTTGCAATGAGTGTGTGAAGACGGGATGGAACTTCATTATATGTTAATATGTGAAAAAATTCTACAGTATTGTTGTGTTCTGTAGTGAATAAACGGGCATTGTTCTCTGTTTTATTTACTTATAATTATGGTTTGTTTGCATATTCTTTCAGGTTTTCAGGTTTGCCACTCCCTGGGTGGTGGAACTGGTTCTGGAATGGGAACGCTTTTAATTTCTAAGATCAGGGAAGAATACCCTGATCGAATGATGCTCACCTTCTCTGTGTTCCCATCCCCAAAGGTATCTGACACTGTTGTTGAACCTTATAACGCAACACTCTCTGTGCATCAGCTTGTTGAGAATGCCGATGAATGCATGGTTTTGGATAATGAAGCTCTCTATGATATCTGCTTCCGCACCCTTAAGCTCACCACTCCAAGCTGTGAGTTCATTCAAAGTTTTCATATTACATAAAGTTTCATTACCATTCTCTGTTTCTTTACTAAGATTGGACATTTGTTATTGCTTGATCGCAGTTGGAGATCTGAACCATCTAATTTCAGCCACCATGAGTGGTGTGACATGTTGTCTTCGGTTCCCTGGTCAACTTAATTCCGATCTTCGCAAACTGGCTGTGAATCTCATTCCATTCCCTCGTTTGCATTTCTTTATGGTGGGGTTTGCCCCACTCACATCTCGTGGATCACAGCAATACAGGGCTCTCACTGTACCTGAGTTGACCCAACAAATGTGGGATGCGAAGAACATGATGTGTGCAGCTGATCCTCGCCATGGTCGTTATTTGACAGCATCTGCTATGTTCCGTGGTAAGATGAGTACAAAGGAGGTTGATGAGCAAATGATCAATGTTCAGAACAAGAATTCATCATACTTTGTAGAGTGGATCCCCAACAATGTTAAATCTACTGTCTGTGATATCCCTCCAACTGGTCTCAAAATGGCTTCGACCTTTATTGGTAACTCTACATCTATTCAAGAGATGTTCCGGAGGGTGAGTGAGCAGTTCACGGCTATGTTCCGTAGAAAGGCTTTCTTGCATTGGTACACAGGAGAGGGAATGGATGAGATGGAGTTTACTGAGGCAGAAAGCAATATGAATGACCTTGTCTCGGAGTACCAACAGTACCAAGATGCCACTGCAGATGACGAGGGGTACGATTATGAAGATGAGGAAGAAGTTCATGAAGAGGATGCTTAAACAGTAGTGTTTTGGAAGGTGTTTTTGTTTTTGTTTGTTGTGAATTGTGATACCTGTTGTCTGTTTAACCTCAACCTGAATACCTTTTTCGGGGTTTTGGATTGCTTTTGGATGGTCTGCCTTTTGTGGCTATGGTAGTTTAGGGTTTTATTATTTCTGCGTGTTTTCCAGTGATGTTAAAATGGTGCACTTATTAATTTCTGAAATATTAAAGCCTAAATGACTTGCAAAATTTTTGGATATCGTTTTTCCTTTTAAGGTTTAGGATTGGATCCTATTAGTTCTTGGATTATCATAGTAGTTTAGGGTTTTATTATTTCTGCGTGTTTTCCAGTGATGTTAAAATGGTGCACTTATTAATTTCTGAAATATTAAAGCCTAAATGACTTGCAAATTTTTTGGATATCGTTTTTCCTTTTAAGGTTTAGGATTGGATCCTATTAGTTCTTGGATTATCATTTGTGAATGAGTTACGTTAGTTTTGGATTATCATTTGTCAATGAGTTACGTTAGTTTTGGATTATCATTTGGGTTCACTTGATGCATCCGAGCTAACTCACTTGGATTGGGCATTTATATAATTTATTTCTTTATTTAGGGAATTTTAATAATTATTAGTTATTTCCTTTTGTTATTTTAGATTATGTTTCAGTGTGCGTTGATTGTGCGTTATCTTCTTTGAATGCGCATGATTATAGTTATTTACTTTTTTTTGTTATTTTGTTTTTGCCTATTTAAGGCATGGAGAATCCTATTGTTATTAGGTTGAATTTTGTTATTTGAGAAATAGAAATTGAGAACCTGAGGGTTACTCTTTTGTGAAATCTTAACTTTCTGTTTAGCCACTTTTCTACGCGCTTTCGGCATCATCACTCTTCGATCAGGACAGTTGCTTACAATATGGACAGAAATTGACATAGTTATATGTGCATGTTTTCAGATCCAAACCACTAGTTTTCGCGTACACAATTATATCTTAGCTCCTGTGTTCATAATCGTGTATTAATTCTGATTAATATTTTTTTCTTCTTCTCTGTTATTATTATTTATCCATTTTTATATGGTTACACGATGATGTCAATATGTCCATTAGTTTCTTTGCAATTAATCCGACAAAGTCCGGAACATGATGCATTTCGAGTTTTGAGAGATTTTGAGTGCTAATGTTTGCAAACTTCTAATTCCTTAGTCTTCTGGTATATTGGACCAATATCAGAGGCCCACAAGAGTATGTCTGCTACTGGAATTCCAGTTCTTACAAGAGTATGTCTGCTACTGGAATTCCAATTCTTTGTTCTTAATTCCCTGGCAGTGGTATGACAAGTATGCTCAGCTGGGATTCATGACACATTTTTTGTTGTTTGAAGTTTAAGATATTTTTACCAATTTAATGGGGATCAATTATTCCTAGAATTTATTTTTAAATATATAGTGTCGAGTCACGGTATACGGAATGGATGTGAAGAGGGATACATGGACATGGATTGGATAGGGTTTTGGGTAATCTGATACGTTTTTTAAGATGGTGCTGACTGCTGAGAAGGAATCTGGGCATTATAAAGGATGTACAAAAATAAGAATAAAACAAAAATGGAAGGGACTATAAATGAACTGGTTTCAATGGTGACAGAAAGTCAGAAATTCAGAAAACACGAAATTTTCGTGGTAAAGAAAAGACTAACGGCTGTTTGACCCATTTTGATCAAAAAGAAAATGTTATCGTGGTGTCATTTTTAACTCTTAAATCCTTTTGGGTTTAAAACTTTAAAAGTTATTGACATATCACATATCAATATACCGATATACGTAATCGGTAGATATGCGAATAAAAAGTTTTAATCTAAATTTCTGTGAAATATGGACACTGGACTGGGCCACCAGCACTTTTGCTGATGAAAGTACAAAGTTCAATATTATTTGTAAGCTTTCAGGAAGCCCATCTTGCATAAGTCCAAATTTGATTGAATTTTGGGTGACGAGAGACTGAGACTGAGTTCCACACCTTTTTGGTTGAGTTTATAATGGTTTCTTTCATTGAATTTTCAATTTGCCTATCGTAATGTTTTAAAATTTACAGGTTAAGTATTTTTTTTTTAAAATCTTATCTGGCACAGTGAAAAAATATTAAATGTTCTACTAGTGAGTGTATCTGCATTCCACAGGTTCTTTTATATTCAGTTATTTAAAAAAATAGATAAAAAGTATAATTAGTTGAAAAAGAATCGGAGTTAAAAAAAAAATTAATTTAAAAAAATCATATGCATAATAATTTTTTTTTTTAAATCATATACTATTGTTTAAGAAAATAGGATTAAAAATAATGTTAATCGATACGAAAGAAAGAAAAACCCACCAAATAAGTACATAAATTTCTGGCAGAGATAGAGAAGGTAGAGTAAGTCCTTCCTTGCCATATGATGAGGCAGTATGCAAGTTCACATCCAATTTCTTTGTTTTGTTTTTTCAATGGGCCTTTCACTATTTCTATATATACTTTGGGTTTTATGAGTATAATGTTTTAGGATATAAGAAAATTTTCCTACCCTCACAATAAAGAAGAGAGATAAAGTGGAATGATGTAAAAGAAAAAAAAACATGTGAACCCCACCTCTTAATTATGTGTGTAGTAAAGTTTTATTGGGTTATGTAACAGATACTAATAAAACTCATATACTTTCCCCCACTTAGCGGTTGAGTTATATTATTTATTTATTTAATTTACATTAAGAAATCGTTTTCACTAGGGGCTACTGTTATAAACTTGATCATAAAGAGAGGTGCTTTTCAATCATAATAAGCAAATTTATATCTATAATAAGACCACCTATTACAGCCACATATTGTACAACAAAATATATAGCGAATTAGCGATCTTGAATTCCGAAACTCCTATGGAGGTGCAACTTCATTGTCTCAAACTAAACATATATTAAGTTGTTTAATTATATGCCACTCTCAATTTCTTTGCGTGCTCTAAAAACTGCAACATAGTAGGGTAGGGGGTGGGTATATATATTAATCCACAGGGTTAAAGGGTTCAGGAGCAGTAGCTGTCCACTGCACGGAATACACAGGTCCTGGTGCCACAATGCCAGAGCTTTTGAGTTCAGCCATTCCTCGACGAGCATTTCCACCTGCTGCTTCGCACAACTTGGGAAGAAACACACCTACACACAAAGAAAAACATGCTCAAGTTTAATTTTTAAAAAAAGGGATTATATTTTCTTATGTAACATAAGATAAGATATCTCATGTTACACTCACAAACTTAGGTGGGTCTCATTGCATAGAAAAAAGAGAAAAAGAATTTGAAGTGGGTCTCACGTCTTTTTGAGTGTGTAGGAGAGACTTATTGTCTCCTATCACATGAGACTAATATTTCCCTTAAAAAAAATGCTCAAGTATAGACTTAATTTTGGCTTCATATAGAATGACTGACAAGAAAAAAAATCCAGCTAAAGCCAAAAGATCAAGTCAACAAAATTTAGCTGGTGCCAATATTGTATCACTTTTAAATACCTAACTAATATCAAAGTTATACCATAATTTTTAAAGAGAATATAAAATATTTTTAAAAATTAGTTGGTGTCAAGGAAAGTATTTATAGTAATCCTTACACACCTACTCTTTCTATTGAGGAGTTGCCACTTGGAGAAAAAAACAAAATTTCTCTCCTCTCTATGTAAACAAGTCAAAATACTCATTTTTCATTGACTTGGATCACTGAATTATAAATAGTCATGAACCATATTAAATATTTTCGGTGTTAAGGCACCAGCTAGCCACCAAGTGGCTACGCCACTAATCATTCATATATATATAGAAATATTGGATGTTCAGTTATTGTATATAAGATTTTGTCCGGTCACTACATTATAACTACGTGTACATAGTTATAATGTTAAAGTTGTATTTTTTTCTTTTCCGACGTAAACTTACTTATATAAAAAGTTAAAAAAATATAACTTTAATATCATAATTATATATTCGCTTAAGTGATCACCAAATAGACCCTATACGAACTAGAATTCAATAGCTGAGTGTAAGAGAAAGAAATAATGAATAAGGTTGAATTGGAAAAATGACCTTCACCAGCAGCGAGATTGAAGTAGAGGTCAACAACGCTTGGGCAATTTTGGTAGCAATGAGTGGAGCAGAGCTTGTGTGTGAAGCGAGACTCGAGAAGAGAGTCTGATGAGATTCCAAGGGACTTCCTGTCCAAACCACAAGCCTTTATGCATTGATCAGTTTCAATGTGGTCTTTCACTTTATCAGCTTCAATCTCTGATGTTCTGCACGTGTATGATTCCTCCCCACTCCTTTTCACCTGCTTCTCAAGCACACATCTTTTCCCAGCTGATGACACTGCGAATGAGCATGTGTCCTGCTTCAGATTCTCACATTCTATCACATTCCCTCCTGCATATGCATTAATAATTAATATATATCCCCGTTAATTAATTAATTACAATATTAAATAATATTTAATCATATATAGATATATATATATATATATATATATATATATTCTAAGGAATCTAAGCTCAATAATATATATCATGACCCTTTTTAGAGACTTACCAAGAGTGCCTTGCACGGCGAGAGAAAATGTAAGGGCAACTATTACCAAACTCCTCAAGCTAAAGTTTGAGGCCATAGCTTAGAGCAGAAGCAGAAGCAGAAGAAGCGATAGTGGCCGAAACTAGCTGGGGATTTTCGAAAAGTGATGAAAACTTTGTGCTTGTGCTTCGAGGAATGTTATGACTGCTGCATTTATAGTGGTTTTTCTAAGGCAATTGTGGGGTTTGAGGAGGATGTGGACTTTTCAATGTGAACAACTCTATCTATCTATTTATTTATTATTCATTTATAGAGATAAAATATTCTACCTATATTTTTTAGGGTTTTATGTTTGTTATGTTACATGACATAACTCCACTTTCCTACACACACATCAAAGATGGGGTCCACATATTTTTCTCTCTCTTTCATCATTCCACTTTCTCTCTCCCCTTTGTTGTGTGTGTAGGAAAGTAAAGTTATGTCATGTAACATAACAAACATAAAACCCATCTTTTTATGTTTATCTTTATTTATCATTTTCCAATATCATTAGATCAGAATCTAAATAAAAGAGAGAAATAATAAATGTAATTGAGATTATGATATAACAGTGCTGGAAAGCGGTAGACAAAAGATAAACTAAAAAAAAAAACAGATAGAATAAAATATTGCATATTTATAACACTTAGTTTAATCTTATGTAAAGTATTATTATAATTAGCACATTTATAGTGGTTTAAAACACTACTTTAAAGTTTACAAAAAAAAAACAACACTACTTTAAATGTTATGGATGCTTGGTAGACCTTGAAATAACCATTGAAAATAATTTTCACAACATTTGATACCAAGGAAGCGCCGGCACAATTTTTTTTTTCAAGATCCATTTTTTATTTATCCTTTTAACTAAATATGAAAAATTAATTTATAAATTGAATATTTTCTATTATGAAATTTCACGTGAAAAATTATTTTCTTTATATTTATGTTATAAAATTTCAATATTTGATTAATTATATGATTTATTATGAGCTGTTATATGAATTAAATGTAAACTATATTATATATATATATATATATATATATATATATATATATTAAAAATATTATTTAATATCAAAACGTGTCGGCATGTCATATCTTATCCCGTGTCCTGTGTCGGTGTCGATGCAACGTAGCTTGGTACATCATTTATCATGATTATACCAAAAAAGAAAAAAGAAAAACAAGAGCTATTTATGAGAGTTTTACTTATTTTTTCTAGGAAAAAATATTTATCCTTTTAAATGACACAACTTATATTCTTTCACTCTCACAAAGAGGTGAGATCCTCACCTTTATTTTTTTTGTCAACTCTCTCTCCTCCTTTATCTATCTCTTTCTCTCACTTAAAATGACACATATTTTTCTCTTTTTTTCAAATACATCACTCGAAACTTATTAAAAACACTTGTGTTCAAGGCTATCGAAGCTTAAGTAGAAACTAGCTTAACATATGAGTGGAGTGAGAGCATATATTCAATCTTCTTTAATATCACTTTTGGAAGGAGTTTAAAACTTTAATCTTGGATCCATCCCAAATCGGACTAGTCGTAAAGTGATGAATCATTTGGAATATTTAAAATAAAATAAAAAATTAGCTTTACATGTTTGAAAACACTCTAATCATAAAATAAAAAAATGACAAGGCCTTAATTTCATGCGAGACACATGCTTGGTCGAACCAAATGATGATTCTGAACGAATTAAGTTTGAATAGGAAGTCAAGCAATAGTGCAATACCGCCATCAGTGGGAACGACAGTCAAGCAATACCGCCATTAGTGGCGGACCCTGTGGCTTCACAATCTACTTCTACCGCACTATCCATGCGCCCATCACCATCATATGTTAGAACTTAGCAAACAAAAGATTACTTCTCATTGGTCAGTTTGATAAGAATTACATGTATAAATAACGAGATTAATATTTCTCGTATTGTAAGAAATAATATATATAAAAATATGCAAGACTCGTGTAAAAAAAAAGAGAGATAAAAAAAAGTGAGTATCACATATTTTTATTGTGTAGGTAGAAGATAAAATTATCTCATATAATATGAAAAATACAAATAAATAGACTGTGATAGGGTAGGATTAGGATCAAGTTAAATTATACTAGGAGGTCTTCTATAATTTCAATTTTAATAATTATTAAGTAATGTGCATTGTTTAAAAATTAGAACGAAATTAGAATATAAGAATAAACAAAAATAATTTTTATTACAATCAATTAATTTTTTAAAAATATTTTTTTTCTTATAAGTTAAGGAAACATAATTTTTTTTTTTTTTTACAAATTTGAGTATGATTCAACCTAAAATACAGATTAATTAAATAAAACACTTTAAATAATAAAATCAGTCTTATTGTCATAACTCGTACTTGTAGGCTTGTAGCTACAATCGGTAAAGAAATGTGCAAATGTGGTGAAATGAAATTGATTAAAAGAATTAGGCAGAACAAAAAGAGGTTATAATTTATAAAAAAATATTATTTTATTTAAAATTAGATAATACAAAACTGATCTATTAACTTAAAGACTAGGTTTGTATTAAAAAAAAAAAAAAAAAAACTTAAAGACTAGGTCATTCAAAGTATACGCGTGACCTAGCTTTTAAATAGGTCTTTTTTTATAGGTCAAGTTTGCTTAGTATTGCCCAGTATATTACTGTTTTTTTTAGCTGAAGAACTTATTTTCTACCCGGTATAACAACTTTCACGGAATCAATTCTTTTTTAATTTTTGTTTTCGGAAATAGAAATGGATACGAAACTTGTTTAGTAAAATCAGTTTATTTTTTTGTTCCCGGAATGAACCGATTTAATTTTTGTGCTGGGGAACAGAAAAAAGAATCAGAAAATTTCCGTTTTTTTGTTCTTGGGCACAAAATGAGAAACATTTATCTCTCTCAATTACTCTCCACTTTTACCATCATTACCATCATCCCGATACGACTGCCGCCACCATCGTCGCCGCCGTCATCGTATCACTAGTGCCGTCGTCACCAACCCTCACCACCACGATGTCACCGTCACTATTACCAACACCTCCACCAATCACTATCACTATGCCACTGTCAACTCCACCAATCACTATCACCATGCCACCGTCAACTCCACCACAACTATCACCGCCGCCACCACTATCACCATGCCACCGTCAACTCCACCACAACTATCACCGCCGCCACCATTATCACCGTCACCACCATCATCGCAACCACTGTCGCCACTGCCATCACACGCCATTGCCACCCCCCATCGCCACCACCACGATGCCACCACTACAATCACCACCACTGTCACTAACCACCACTACCATTGCCGCAACCACTATCGTCACCACCACCACCACCGTCACAGCTAGAGCTGGCAAAATGGGCCGAGCCCGCCGGGCCGGCCCGCCCCGCCCGCCAAACGGGGCGGGGCGGGCTGAGTTTTCTAAACCCGCTGCCCTCCAAGCCCGCCCCGCCAAGCCCGCCAGCCCGCCCGGGCTTGTTTTTTTTTTTAATTTTTAGTGTAAAATGTGACGGGCTTGGTGGGCAGCCCGCCCCGCCCGCCCAAACGGGGCGGGGCAGGCAGAGATATCTAGCTCACCTTCAATGGCGGGGCGAGGCGGGCCAGCCCGCTTTTTGGTGGGCTTTTGGCGGGAAGGGGCGGGCAGCCCGCTTTGCCACCTCTAGTCACAGCCATTACCATCATCACCACCACCATTACACCACCCCCACCACTACCATCACCACGCCATCGCCACCACTACCACCACCACCACCACCACCACTGCCACCACCACCACCACCACCACCATGCCACTCTACCATTGTTGCCGCTACCAACCACCATACCCACAACCATTATCGCAGCCACTGCCATCACCACCACCACTACCACCGCTACCGTCACCATTGCCACCTCTATCGTTGCAGCCACTGCCGTCACAACCACCACCACTATCTTCATTACGTCACTGCCACCACCACTACAATACCGCCGCCGCCACCACCACTACCACCACCACAACCACACCATAAGGAAAGTGATGATCTAAATTTTTATTATATTTAATAGAAATTATTTTTTATTATATTATTTGTTGTGTTATCAAACACAATTCTTATTTTCAGAATAAAAGTAGAACATGTTATCAAATACATTTTTTTTCTCAGAAATTGTTCTAAAGCACAAAAATAGAAAATAATTATTTTTTTTAGAAACAATGCTAGGGAATAGAATGATTGTCATGCACATCCTATGTTTAAACACAATTTTAACTTTCAAATGTTTTCTTTCCTCATAGTGCAATTAATAACGATTCTGCCAATACACGCATTCGCCAAAGTATTATTTCGGAGAATTAAACTCAGAATCTCAGCTTTGATACCAAGTGTTGGATCAAACACTTATTATTAGATCAAAAACTATAACTTTAGTTATGATACAACTCTTTTTATTTATTATTATCAATCCAAATATTATGATTTGATCTGACTTCAACCTACGTTAGATCTTTTCAAATCAAGATATTAGCCTCACCAACAAACTTAATGCGAGACATACAACAAGGAAAAAAAAAAAAACTAACTTAAAAATTAGATCTCAGCATGTTTGCACATTTGGTTAATGAGCCCATAAGGCCATAACTAACTGCAATGTTTGGATTTTTAGCCATTTACGTACTTTTTTCCTGGCTGCTAGTGCTCTGAAAGACAAAGGAAGAACTAATTATGGTCATGGGGATCAGATTAGGTAGTCGCTAATAATATTCATTGTAATTTATAAATAGAAAAAATTATATTTATAAATTCTTACAAACTATACTACTATATCTACACTCTTGTGAAAATAATATTACCGGTCGGAAATAATATAGTTTGTAAATTTATAAGAAAAAAAAAAACTTATAAACACATCTTTTTCCTTTATAAACTTGCCAAAGACAAGAAGAAGAATGCAGTAATTAGGAATTTTAATTTGATACCATTGTTTGCGGAAGAAATTCTATGTCATGGCATAGTCTGCGGCAACATAATTGGTTACGTGTTGACCACAACAAATTTGGTCTGAATCTATCCCAGAATTAGGGAGAAGATCCTGGCCCCTTTTTCCTCGTGTTTCTCACCCCTTGAAGTT